ACTCCGTAGACTTCACTCTCAACGGAAAGAAAATCACTTTATTTAGCGGTTCTTTGCATTACTTCCGATTACCCAAAGACTACTGGAAGGACAGGCTATTGAAGTTCAGGGCCGCCGGACTTAACACCGTAAATATACCCCATAGCCATAGCACATACCTTATAACATACCTGCGCTCATCTTAGGTGCAAACATACTCGCCATGGAATCTACACGAGGAGACCCCCGATAACTGGGACTTCGAGACGGGTTACCTGAATCTGAAGGACTTCCTCGAGGCTGTCAAAGCCGCCGACATGTTTGTCATGTACCGGATCGGGCCTTACATGTGCGGTGAGTGGGACTTAGGGGGTTACCCCTCGTGGCTGCTCAGGGATCCCAACATGAAGCTCCGGTCTAACTATAAGCCACACTTGGATGCGACGGAGAAGTACTATAACAAAGTACTCGACATTATTAACGACTACCAGTTCACGAAAGGCGGTCCCATAATAGCCATGCAATTCGAGAACGAGTTCGGAGGCATTCATAGTAATGATGATAAGGAGTACTTCGAGTTCATGAAGAATGTCATCGATTCCCACGGATTCAAAGAATTGCTCACTAATTGCGATCCGTTTGATACGGCAGCCGACGCCGCCAAGAATGTCCTCCAAGGTATGGGTGCAACCAGTGTTGATGTTTGAGTTATTTTTGATGTTTTGATTTTATTATTCAAAATACTAGTTATTTTTAACTTGATTTTCATATACCTTTACCACTAAAATCAGTATCAGTATCACTAAAAATAGTGTGTTATTTATTATGCTATTTACAAAATACTAACAAAAATCTCATTTTTAAAAACATTTAATTATTTATGGGTTTGGTTTGGGTTTAGATTTTATTTTTCAGATACTAGGTTTTTAGCATTGTTTCCATTGACTGTCTGTTTATTGCTAATATTTATCATTACTTTGTATCACTAAATATACTAGGATAAAAGTGTGCCATTTATTAACAAAATACTAACAAAATTCTCATTTAATGTCTTATTTATAACTCGTTGTATGGTCAGACGTTTTAGAGACCGATAACTTTCAGTCTGATTCCCTGAATCTATTAACTAAACTACGCGAAGCACAGCCTAATAAGCCCCTGTATGTATCCGAGTTCTGGCCAGGGTGGTTTGACCAATGGGGAGATGACAAACACCACACCTATGATGTGAACGTTTTTGAGAATGAGATCACCGATGTACTGTTCAAGGCCAATTCATCGGTTAATTTCTATATGTTTTTCGGTGGCACTAACTTTGGGTTTATGAACGGGGATACTGTGGTCACTAGTTATGATTATGACGCACCACTATCTGAGACAGGTATGTTTTTATTTGAGATGTGTTATGAAAATTATTAAT